TGAGGGTACTCTGGTCGGAGAGTAACCTTGCATGGATGTTAGAAACTATAAATGTCCTTCGTTATTACTATAAGAGCCCTAGACCGGGCTCTGCCCAGTTGGTTTATGTATCAAGCTGCTGAGATATTACCCATGTGCAGGAGAATACAACAATACGACATGTCCTTGGCTAGCTGCAGGTCGCAGATGATCCAGTCATCAGTCATCTTTTCCCCAGACCATGGGCCTCCAGTGGGAGTATGTGCAGTGAGCTTCCCTGCCCTAGAGGCTGATGGTCGATATCACTATGTAATCTGGTACGGATTCGAAGATGGCTCTGCCGTTACATGTCTGTATATGTGGGAGCCATCATGAATTTCTGTTCACCCCTCCTGGTCCTAGGAGTGCCTTGTCTCCAGGCAATAGGTTTTCGGGTATTGCATAGCCCGGTAATGTAGAGTCCCTGGGAAGGTCGTCTGTATAAAAGAGGGAAGGAGTCACATTACTCTTGAAGAGTATGTAGTACATATCCCTGCGAATTCCGGTCCTTTCACACAATCCATTGAATCCCAGCATGTCGTCTAGATAGGTAAGGCAACGGATTCCCTTGTGGCAAAGGTGTGCCATGACTGGCTTCAGGAGTTTATTGAAGTACCATGGGTTGAACCCATAATGGTAGACACGTGAATTGGAATGGTCGGTCCCGTCAATGAAACCAAAGGAATGGATGACTCCCTGGTGTGATTAGCATGGACAGGTATGTGTCCCTCCAATCCAAATGAGTGAACCCATCTTAGGTGCGGAGGAGTTCTCACAGAAGTTGAGTACCATCCATCTTGAAGTGACGATACACCACGAATACATTGGGTAGGCGTAGGATGATGATGACAGGTTGATAGTCTTTTGACGATAAAGACATTGCTGAGGTAACCAGTGATGTCTGGAGTGAATTGCCCAGCGCTTCTGGTGAATAAGGTGTAATCCTATGACATATCCTCTGACCGTCTGGAGGATTCTAGCGTCCGAAGAGATTGCTTCCCAATTTGAGAAAAGGAGACCTTTGGCTGTGGTTACATCATGAGAACGTTGACACAGGAGATATCTACAAATATTCATGTTTCTTCAGTACCGATAGGAACCGCTCTCCGAACAGGAGACCATTAGTCAATGGACCCCATTCCCTTTCCCCAACTCTACGAGTTTGGTATCCAAATTGTAAAGGGCCGCCTTGTGGTGTTAGGCCCCTATGCCATGTTTGTAGTGCCCAGGATGCATAGATAGTATCTTAGCCAGTGGGTCGAACAGTTATCTAGGATTTTTAAACCCTCTTTTCACTTCCCAACCGGAGCGGAACCAAGAGGTTACCCCTGTGGTGTTGAATTCTTTAGTGTCGTGCTATCTTATTGGGGAGAAATGGGCGAGGGCGTTTGACCCGGAGTCGAACATGCCATCTTATTTTCATAGGCTTTTGTAACTAGAAGTGTATGAATCATTTCCGATGGCCTGGCAGCCTCCTATTTCGACGATCTCTGTGTGTTTTCTGTCTGTGCGGTGGTCAAATAATAGGAACACCGTAGGTGTCGAGAAATATCATCTTCCCCTTTGTCCGCGGATTTTCGGGAATCTTCCTTCTAAAAAAAAAAAAAAAAGTTAGGCCATCTTGAAAAATCTTTCGGACATATCGGGGATCCTCGGGGAGTCTCAATACCGTGTTACGGGTTCACCCAAGTTATGTCCCATTAAGGTACTACTGAGGGGATCACCCTCAAGAGTATGCGTGGAATAGATGGGACCCCTGGTTGCATCACAGAGGTGATGTAGTATGGTACTGTTCCGGCATTCAGTCCATATATAGCACCAAGAAGGGGGGTCACCCCAATTATGGTGTCTCAGTGGTTTAGAATGCTTCGGGGGCACACCAAATTAAAGGGGGGGTACCAAAATTGAAATTTTGGTCTTTCCTCCCTCAAGTGTTGTTACTCCTGTGTCTGTCTCCCTCCAAGTCAACGGTGCTACCATCAGCTTCACCATGCAGGCTCGCTGCCTAGGTGTTCTCTTTGACTCCGACCTCTCCTTCAAGCCTCATGTTCAATCTATTGCCAAAACCTGTCATTTCCATCTAAAAAACATTGCGCGCATCCGCCCCTTCTTAACGCCAGATGTGACTAAGGTGTTGGTCCATTCCACTGTCCTTTCTCGCCTTGACTACTGTAATCCACTTCTCAGTGGTCTTACGTGCTCCCAGCTAGCGCCGTTACATTCCATAATGAATGCGGCGACGAGGCTCATCTTCCTGTCCGCACGCACCTCCCATGCCTCACCCTTCTGTCAGTCCCTACATTGGCTTCCTAAAAAATATACAGCTCAATTTAAAATTCTGGTTCTTGCTTTCAAATCTCTACATAATGCTGCTACCACCTATCTATCCTCCCTTATACACAAGTATGTCCTGTCTAGGCCCTTACGATCTGCTGAAGACATACATCTATCTTCTGTCCGTACTCCCACCTCTGATGCTCGCCTTCAAGATTTCTCGAGGGCTGCACCGTTCCTCTGGAACTCGCTTCCCTCCTCCGTTAGATGCTCACCCAGTCTCCACTCCTTCAAAAAATCGTTAAAAACCCACTTCTTCATAAAAGCGTATCCATTAAACTGTTAATAGCTCCTGACTGATTCCTCTTCTGCAACTGTCATTAGTCTAATACTATCCTTACCTTTTTGTGTCATTTTACCCCACTCCCTCTAGCATGTAAGCTCATTGAGCAGGGCCCTCAACCCCTCTGTTCCTGTGTGTCCAACTTGTCTGGTTACAACTACATGTCTGTTCGTCCACCCATTGTAAAGGGCTGCGGAATTTGACGGCGCTCTATAAATATCATAATAATAATAATGGCTGGACAGAGCTTTTCATGTATCACCCTTCAGCATGTAGAAGTGAAATGTAGGTTTAAGGGAGGGTTATGTAGCAAATGTAGGCAGGCTTAACTTTTTCTGATCCTTCTAAATTTAGCACACTATACAGTGAATTGCTATTCTGAGGCATGTGCTGCTATTCAGTGCCAATACCATAATAATTTATTTTTTTACTTACCTCAGCTAGATTTCCCGGGAGCCTCGTCCAGTGCTGGTTCTCTCCCAGTGTCCCATGGGAGACCTTTTACAAGGCTCTTAGAGCAATCCTAGAGAACCCTCAATTTGCATGCAATCGGGCGTAATTAATAATAGTTTGGCAGCACTTTGCGAGTAATGCTTTGCAGACTCAGGGTTAAAGTTTTATGGAGAGAATATGCATATTGGGCAAACTTTACTCACACTCTTATAAAATCACGCTCCCCCTTCTCAGTGAAATATGTTGAAAAGACTTTAATTGTAAATGAATGGCCACAGGCAGATTATTTCATTCTAATGTGAGCCCTCTTGTAGCCAAATCAGAGATGCAAAATAAATCTCTGTTAGGGTCACTGGTAGTTTATGATTTAGGCATTTCACAATATATTCGACTTAACGAATATATAAATAATACTTTTCTCCACCTCTATAACCAAACAGCAACATGATACCATATTCCTAACATTTAAAGGGACACTATAGTGTCAGGAAACCCACTTGGTTTTCCTGACACTATAGTATCCTGAGGGTGTCCCCACCCTCAGGGTCCCCCTCCCGCGGCGCTGAAGGGGTTAAAACCCCTTCAGCTACTCACCCTTTTCCCCCACCGGGCTCCCTTACCTCACCTCCCCCGCCGACATCAGCATCCTTGTCTTACGTCACCGGCGCCAAATGTGCATGCGCGGCACTGCCACGCGCGCATTCAAAGTGTGTGTAGGAAAGCATTTTTCAATACTTTCCTATGGAGGCTCTGCGTGATTGAGGCGTAATATGCCTCAATCATTGTCGATGCGCCTCTAGTGGCTGTCCGGAAGACAGCCACTAGAGGCTGGCTTAACCCCAGATGTAAACATAGCAGTTTCTCAGAAACTCCTATGTTCACATCAGGCAGGGTTAGCCCAAGAGGGACCTGACACCCAGACCACTTCATAGAGCTGAAGTGGTCTGGGTGACTATAGTGTCCCTTTAATGTGGACAAAGAGGGACCCTTTCATTTTAGGGGTGTTAGTGGGGGTGCGGCCGAGGTGGGGCTGTTCTAAGAAATTCTAGGTAACCTACTAATAATGTATACAACTGAATGTAAATGTAATTTAGAACAAACATAACATATCTTGTTTTATAAACACATTTATAGAGCTCCTAGAAAAGAGGAAACCTAGGACAGAAAAGAGGACAGAGGAGTTTGGGCCCAAAGTAGGGACTGTCCCTCCTAAATAGGGACACTTGTTAGGTATGTTGAGACTTCTTAAATAGACCCTGCCATTTTTTTTCTTTCAGTTTACCTGTAGTAATGCCTCTTGTACCTTAATAATGATACTCTCCCCTCCACCTTTTTCAATTTGACTTTATTCATATGTATTATCTTTTCAGTATATCAATACCTGGGTGCAGTCATTTTGTTTTCCGCTGTCCACGTCTGTCGTTTGCCCTCGGTGGGATTGTTCTGACCGACGGATTGTGGGTAACTTAACTCAGGGGCTAAAATGGAACTTTGCTTAAGCTCAGCCCATTCTCAAAGAGAACACTTCCCATGAGAAAAACGAGTTCCTACTTTACCCTATGTATAACAAAAAATTTTTTTTTTTTTAAAAGATAGAAACCAGAAAAATTGTTAATTTACAAACAAATCTTGCAAAATGACAGCACCGCTTTAATAATGTGTGCGTTTGTTTAAAATTAACCAACGTTTCCAGAGGGTCTCAGAGCTGCCTTGCAAAGGGTCCATTATATATATATATATATATATACACCAAAAAATCTATTATCAGCTGAAATTATGAGCACTCTTTGCACACACAGCAGAACAAGATCGTGAAACAGCAGGTGAGCTGAGAGGCAGCCACCACCCCCACAACTTCCTATCTCTTCAGCAACCACTCAGCAGGAAGTCACTTGCCTCTTTCCTCGAAGATCTCTACTCGGATTGACCTAATTAACCTGTCATCTTTGTGTCTATTACCATATTAATGAGAAAATTGTTTATGCTCTGATGTTATTTACACGTGTTCTACCTTTCAAAGGGGTCCTAAAAAAATCATCTACAAGTGCTTGTTTCTTTGCCAGAAAATCTCAGATCCTGTCAAGATTCCATTTTTCTGTTGAGTTTTGTTACATTTATTTCAAAGGATAATAAATGATTGCACTATTTAAGGCAATGTAGACCCTGGTATGTGATTAGATTCACAGCTGTATGACTCCCACAATCGACACATTGTCTACTGAATTGTGTTAGAGGAACCAGACTCAAAGGATGTCACATGTGCAGGTTTTATGCCCAATGCTCTGACCCTTTTGGGTCATGTTAGGATACTTGATTTCTCTGATACTAAACGGTTATTACCATTAAAACCGTGGATCTTTCTGTTATTAAAAAAAAAAAACATTTAGAAGGTCTGGCAAAATGTAAAATCAATTATTGTTGAAAAATAACATTGGTTGCCTAAAAGACTTTTGTAAAGGAGAAGCAATTTGTCTCTTGGCAAAAATTTTCCAAAATTTCAATGATCCATTTTTTGATGGATAATTTCACAACCCTGGTTAATAAGCATTTCTATGATTATCCTCCTGCCCAACATTCTTGGTGTTGGACCAGATGTTATTCAGTTTGTTTTGGCCTATGATCTGTGGATATTGTATAATGTCTGCGAGTTCACAGCAATAAAAACATTTGGTTTGTCTAAAAAAAGTTTTGCTTCCATCAATTTGGGTTTCGTCCATGTGGCTATCAAATAAAATGATTTAGACGGACCAAAATGGAGCGAAAATTGTCCAATCGGGGTCCTCCATCCTTTGTAGCATTTCTTCCCATAATTATCTCTATCTCCGTCCTTTTCCTTAGACCTCAAGAAACAACAGCAGTTAGTTTCCACTAAGCACAACCCACCTGCCCCTCTTCTTGTACTCTGTTTATCCCCCGATTGTTGGTGCTTCATAAATGCCAGAAATAATAAAAAAATAATAATACTGCCAATTATGAATATTATGTGTATATTTTGCTGTACACTGAGAGGGTATTTTCTGTCATTTGGCTCACAAATTAAGTGTGAAGAAGTAACCAATGGGGGGGGGAGGGGGGGAGGGTGGAAGAGGAGGAGCATTACAAATATCTAATTACAACATATTTATAATTATTATTATTGTAACAAAATAATACAGATTTTTTTTGTACTGCTTTGTCCCCCTCTATTGCTCACTTCTCATTTGATCTGTGAATAAAATCAGTATTTAGTGACTGTCCTGTTCCTTTGTCATCAGTCATCTTTTTTTCATCAGTCTATCTTTTTTTATGGTGTCACGGACGGAACTCTGAATCACAATACAAACCGTTCGTCCAACGGCTGCTTTCATGATTCATCCTTATGGCATTTCTTAGCTTGGGATTTCGGTCGAACTGCTGATCGCCCAAAATATGGACAAATTGCATTTCCTTTCAAACTGAATGCACAAGTCTAGGTAATATTCACTACTTTCTGCTTACATCCAGTGATATGACTTGCAGCATTCCTTACGATATTCTTGGTAATTGTTATTCGCTGTTTTATTGTAACAACTTTTTATTACATTCTAAGATTCTAATAAATTATGACTTATAAAAGTGTGTTTAAATTTATTGTATATAGTTAATTAATACAACTGTGAGATCAGGCAAGTGTTGGGTAATTACTATTTAAATGTATGTGGTTAGGTTGCCAGAGATTAATGGACAACACAAGACATCTATCAGACCAGGGAGTTGGGCAACCTCGGACTAGGAAAATTGTCAATTCTTGATCATTCAGTAAACCTGGCTGGGGTCATTTCCTTACTAGGAGGCGTGAGACAAAGATAGGCGAGAATCATACTGCCCCCTGCTGGAGGTAATTGTAAATGCAATTTGCACCGACAGAGTGCAGATGGAACTTATATGGTGTGTGGTTTGCAACATCATAGTTCAGCAAATGTCTCTCTTCTCCAATATCATTATTACATGCTTTTGAATTTTCTTGGGGGGTATTGGAAAGCGTGTGTAATATTTCTACAGAGTGCACTGGTTATATCTTTCCAGACTGAAAATATCTCTAATTTTATTCTGCAGAAAAAAAGCCGATTATGTTAAATTTATATTGGTTTTAAAATAAACAGATACTACCACTTTAATGTTCAAAGCACAATTTAAAAAAAAAAACTGTTTCATTTTAATTAAATGAATCTGTTTATTTGATATTTTTATTTAATTTTTTTTCTCGAACCGCTGGATAAAAGCACTTGTTAATCTTGTTATAAAACCCTTGCTGGATCCTAGTACCATGAACTTACTGCCTAAGGCATATGTGTGGAATGGATTCTTCTAAAAGCGTTCACTGATTTTCATTTAGCAAAATTGTGAGTTTTTTAGTTAATGTGATCATTTAAGAACATGCCTGTTTCTAAGAATATTAATATATATGCTGATTTTTGCTCAAAGAGAAATTATAGTCCAAAACAATAGGTGTGTACCACTTACCATTAAAGTAGACACCTGCTTCACCAAGTACCTATATACCCTAAACAAAGAATACTAATTTCCCTGCATTGGTATAAATTAGAAATGTATTTTTATCATTTTTTCCTGTATGTATGTTGCACACTTAACCCAATGACCAATGGCTAACTAACAAGACAACGGCAAAAGCATTGTTTCCACAAAATACAAGGTAAGCAGTAAAGATTCTTGCACTAAGCAGTAGTTCTAATGAATGGATGATCATTTTATGATTCAATTCCAAAATAGCTAAAAATGTATACAAAGTTACCAGCCACTGGCGGGTGAAAATTCCCCCCTGGTTGATGTGCTTCGGACGCTTCAGGCTTTCAGCGGCTAGTAACTTTTAGGCATGACTTGTAGTGTAGGTCTTGGAATTTTGAGCCTTGTTTGGACCTGTTCATTGAGATTTTTGGGCTCCTGTCTTTTGGGGACAGGAGGGTGTTTGGATATTGTAAGAAGTGATAAAGCAATTGCCACTGGTCTAATTCTGGTTGGCTACCTTGGGAGCTGGAAGATTTTGCCAGCTGTGAGTGCTGACAGACCAGTCTTCTAGACTCCCCGGAATGTTTTGTATCACTGTTCTAGGGGTATGATAGTATTGTATGATTAACTAGAGGACTGCCATGGGCTGAGACCTTCAGGGCTAGTTGGGGTGCAATGGGTATAGTCCACAAAAGATCCCCAAAAAAACAGTTTTTATGCCAGAAGGTAGAGGTTTTTTTCTAACTTGGGGATGTTGGTCTAAATTTTGTAAGTTTTCATTCAGCTTGTCTGGTCCTGTTTTTTATTTTTTTTATTTTTTAGCAATTCTCTAATACAGGTCTGAACAAGCTGCAAACTAAAATAGGAGTTATAAAACTGCAAATCCCATCACATCCAAGCAGCAGGATAATGTGTGTTCTTATGCATGCGCTAGTCTAACGTTTAATTTTAGCTTTTTCGGTCACTCAATTTTCCCAGTTTTCTGCCAATAGATATTCTACATAGTTACATAGTTACGTAGCTGAAAAGAGACTTGCGTCCATTAAGTTCAGCCTACCTCACATTTGTTTTTTTCTGTTGATCCAAAAGAAGGCAAAAAATAAACAGTTTGAAGCACAATTTTGCAACAAGCTAGGAAAAAAATTCCTTCTTGACCCCAGAATGGCAGTCAGATTTATCCTTGGATCAAGCAGTTATTACCCTACATTGAAAGATTATATCCTTGAATATTCTGTTCTTGCAAGTATGCATCTAGTAGCCGTTTGAACATCTGTATGGACTCTGATAAAACCACTTCCTCAGGCAGAGAATTCCACATCCTGATTGTTCTTACAGTAAAAAACCTTTCCTTTGCCTTAGGCGAAATCTTCTTTCTTCCAGTCTAAACGCATGGCCTCGTGTCCTATGTAAAGTCCGGTTTGTGAATAGATTTCCACACAATGGTTTGTATTGGCCCCGAATATATTTGTATAATGTTATCATATCCCTCTCAGGCGACGTTTTTCTAAACTAAATAGGTTTAAATTTGTTAACCTTTCTTCATAGCTGATATGTTCCATTCCTTTTATTAATTTTGTAGCCCGCCTCTGCACTTTTTCTAGTGCCATAATATCCTTCTTTAGAACAGGCGCCCAAAATAGCACAGCATATTCAATATGTGGTCTTACCAGTGATTTATAAAGAGGCAAAATTATATTCTCATCCCGAGAATTAATGCCCCTTTTCATGCATGACAATACCTTACTGGCCTTGGCCACTGCTGATTGACATTGCATATTGTTACATAGTTTGTTGTCTATAACAATTCCCAAGTCCTTTTTGTGTGTTGTTATCCCTAATTCGCTTCCATTAAGGGTATACGTTGCTTGTGTATGCTTTATGCAGAAGTGCATAACTTTGCATTTTTCAACATTAAATTTCATCTGCCATTTGAGTGCCCAGTCCCCCAGTCTATCTAAATCCCTCTGCAGCAAAGTAATATCTTGTTCACATTGTATTATTTTACAAAGTTGTGTGTCATCTGCAAACACTGAAACATGACTTTCAATGCTGTCTTCAAGATAATTTATAAACATGTTAAATAGAAGGGGTCCCAGAACAGACCCCTGAGGGACACCACTTGCCACCTCTGTCCAGCTTGAAAATTTACCATTAATGACAACTCTTTGTACTCTGTTTTTAAGCCAATGTTCTACCCAAGAACAAGCATTTTCATCTAGACTGATTTCCTTGAGTTTGAACACGAAAACTTCTTCGTAGAACGCATGTCATTTTTTGTTTATTTAGTATTGTTCGATATATTTTTCATTCATATTTATTCAGTGTTTTTTTGCTAGCAATCTATTTATTCCTCCCAAGCCTTTTCGCCTATTCCTTGTGCAAGCTTTGACTGATTTTTCTCTCGGACGCTTCCCTTTACTCCTGTATCTTCATTACACTCTGACTCTTTTCTTCCCTTCTTTTTCCTTATCTCTTCAGTACTCAGCCAGTAATATCCCGTCTACATATAGATTTAGCCGGCTCAGTCCAAGGCAGTAATGCGGCTGTCCGATTGGCTCAGATCTTGTTACGCGTGACTTTGTCTAGGGAGCTTCATGAAGCCTGCGCCCTTCTGATTTCCAAAGCTCTCCCTCTGCGCTT